TGTTCCCAAGATAGTAGGAACTGCAGATGCTGGAGAATCTGAGATAACAAGGTTAGAGCTGGATGAACACAGCAGGCCAAGAAGCATCAGAAAAGCAGGAAGGCTGACGTTTCGGGCCTCGACCCTTCTTCAAAAAAAGACTATTCTTTTCTAATGGCTGAAATAGTTGTAAAATAATGGCACACAAGGCTGACCAATTTTACTATCTACAACAATGTAAAACAAACTTAACTCTCTTCTTTCTGATGCTGCCAGACCTGCAGGTCTTCATCAGCACTTTACTTTTGTCACTATCCACAAGGTGGGCATTTCCCTAACTGTGAATATGCGCTGGGTCTCGCATGAGCGCCAATGAGAATTTAGAATTTAAAATAAGAACAAAAGTGCAAAGTGGCAGACAATGACAGTGCAATCGCACAGTGCCTACAAAATTTTTTTTTTCTACCGAGTTGCCAGCATCAATATGCAGCAGATGGAAACCCTCGTTCGTGAAACTTTCAGCTGGATCAGAAATTCTAAACATTAATCAGCATCCATATGAATGAGACTCCGAATTCATTGCACAAGGAGAACGGTGGACAATCCCAATATCCTAACATTTACCACCCATTGAAATACTGATCAGCTCAGAGAGCGGTGCGACTTGTTGTTGTGACCACACTTACTTTCATTGGCAGAAAAGCGCGTTGGAACGCCCTCAGGCTGTCAAAGACCCTTTACACATACAGTTTCTTTCTCTCATACTGATCTCGATGGATGAGTAATCTCCTGACAGACTCCATGAACGTCCAAGCAAAGACTATGATAGCAATTAACGCCATTAACCATTCAACTGCCCGGCTCTTCCGGTTCCCCCCTCCACGGCGGCCGGGGAGAATTCCGTTACAGGAAATGGTCAAATTCACATTCCGCAGGCTCGAGCCGGTCCTCGCGATAATTCGCCGTTAGTGGCGCCGATGGGATTTGTAGTTCCAGGGAGACTTTCCAGACACGGCGTGGACGTTGTTCCCACGCCGGTCAGGACTACAGTTCCCGAAGCGCGAAGCGCGGCGGCGGCCGTATGACGAACTTGAAGTATGGTTTCGGCTATCCAGGTCACGGTGATGTACTGAAGATAGCTTCACTCTCAAGGTAAGGAGAGAGGATGAAACGTTGCAATCTTCTGTTTGGAGAAGTAGTCATTCAGTTAGATATGCTTCATTCCGCGTACCTCCTCAAAAAATTATGTATGGAAATTTGAGCAACTGGTGACATTTTTCATCTACCTTCGACTTTACACGTATGGCCTCTGCGATGGATTAATAGTTGCACGAACGTGATTTAAAGAAAACCATAAAATATAGGAGCAGGATTGGGCCATTCGGTCTATCGAGTCTTCTTCGCCATTTTATTATGGTTGATATGCTTCTCAACCCCATTTTCCTGCCTTCCCCCTATAACCTTTGATCGCTTAACCAATCAAAAACCTATCTATTTCTGTCTAAACACAGTCAAAAACAGCCTCCACAGCCTTTTGCGACAATGAGGTCCACAGATTCACTATTTTCTGGCTGAAGAAATTTCACCTCATCTCAGTTCAAACAGTCGTTCTTTCACTCCGAGGCTGTGCCCTCGGCTCCCATTCTCTCCAGTAGTCGAAGCGTCTTCGTCATGGCCCCTCTTTCCAGGCTTGTCGGTAGTCTGTAAGTTTCAGTGAGATTCGTTCTTCTAAACTCCATTCAGTAGAGACCCAGAGTCGTCAACTGCTCCTCATAATGACAAGCCCTTCACCCCCAGGATCATTCTTGTAAACATCCTCTGATGTGGGAGGGGGATCCAGCATATCCATCCTTCGATACAGGACTCAGAACTGCTTACAATATTCCAAATGCAGTCAGACCAAACCCTGAATGGTACATCTTGCTCTTGTATTCTAGTCCTTTTGAAATGAATGCTAATATTTCATTTACCTTCCTAACCGCCAACTGAACCTGCATGTTAATTTTAAGAGAATCCTGAACTTTTACTGAAGCCTTTCCCTATTTAGAAAATAGACCACACCTCTATTCTTCCTACAAAAGTGCATAAACTCTCACTTTCCCATATTCTATTCCATCTGCCACTTCGTTACCCACTCGCTTAGCCTGTCGAAGTCCTTTTGTAGCCTCCCTGCCTCCTTAACACTACTTGTACCCCCACCTATTTTTGTACCATCGGCAAACTGAGCAACAATGCCATCAGTTCCTCCTTTGAGATCATTGGAATGTATAACGTGATTACTTATGGTTCCAACACTGAGCCCTGTGGAACTCCACTAGTCACTGGCTACCATCCTGAAAAAGACCCCTTTATCTCCATTCTCTGCTTTCTGCCAATCACCCAATCTTTGTCCAGGCCTTTAACACCACGGGATCTTGTAGGAGAGTCTTCTGCACTGGAGGTAGGGGATAATACCACTGCACCAAAAGAGCCCCACCATGGATGTTATTATGTATGAATTTTCAACCCAAATTCGATAAGGTATCACTGTAATAGGTAGTTATGCATGATTAGAACACATGAGTTAATGGATAATGCATCAACGTAGATTGGTTAACAGACAGAGATTAGGAATTAGCAAATCACTTTTAGAATGGCAATTGGTAACTGGTGAAATGTTTTTAAGTATGAAGTGTTTATTATCTGTTGAATTATAATGCTTAAGGTATGGGATAATTGACTCTATCATCAGCCGGCTTTTTTTTTTTGAAGACAATATTAATTGCTGAATGGTGAGAAGAGATGTTACTGCTGATCCTGATCGTATTGTTATGGTCTAGATGCTGGAACAGGAAACTCGTAATGGAACCTGGGGAAGAGAACATTTTAATTTGGTTTGTTGCATACTCTATTGGGCAAAGGAGAAAAGAGGGTCATCAATAATGATAAGAGAAGACTTTCACAAGTTCTATAATGGGGAGGGAGTGGGAAGCCATCTTCATCCATAAGCAATGTGTGCTTGTTGTATTTTCATGAAATCTAATACGTAGACATGGGGGGAGGAAAGAAGTAAGAGGCCAAAAGGTTGCAAAATGTGCCCATTCCCCATTAATCTGGTTTGAGGCAGACAGAACTACCTGGGTGAAACTTTCATTCTTCCCGTTGTGGTGGTGGAGGATTGGGCAAGTTTGATTTCAGGTGTGTTGAATGAAGACCTCGCCTTCCCCCTAGCATAATGATTAGAGACAATAATATTGAGAAACTGCGTCCTTCCAACACACACCCAATCAGCCATGTCTTTCCAGCTTATCAATTCTCTATCTGCCGAGCAAAAGACTTATCTACTGTATATGTCAACATTTTACTAGAATGTTGCATCTATTGCTGTATTTAATAAAACAACAGTATTTTCTCCATGATAGTTGATACTGTCCCTGAAGGTCTCAGGAAAAGGTTGAAAACCTTTTGTTATTACTGAGCCCTGTAGTGAAGTCAAATCTTCGATTTGTGTAAAGTCTTCCAGTCAACAGGAAACAGAAAAATCTCCTCTGCTGAAGAATCTAATCCAATTTATCTTGTACGGTTTGATGTCCACAGTTATCATGGTCACTAAAGCATCTTTGGATGAAGACGATATTGGCTGGGGGCTTGGTATCTCAGAAAAGATGGAAAAAAGTAATGCAAACTGGTTTGACATTACCAAGCAATTCAAGGATTGCTGTAAAGGTAAATTTATCGATATTTTGTGCAATTTTCTTAATAGCTTATGAAGCTAGTGGAAGCATGGGTCCTTGAATATTTTTATGGCAGAGGTAGATAGATTCTTATTAAGAAAGGGGGTGAAAGAATATCAGAAGTAGGTGGGAATGCAAATTTGAGGTTGTGATCAGATCAGCCACAACCCTATTGAATGACAATGCAGGCTTGAGGCGCTGAATGGACTACATCTGCTCTTAATTCGTATGTTTACTGAGAGTCTCCAAGAATCTAAAAAAGTATATTCTGGTTTTTTTCCCAACTACAGAACCTTTTCCAAATTTGTGCTTCTGTCTCTTCCTGTCCTTTTTGGCTCCCAAAATTTTTGTTTATTTTAGGTGTCTTGGGAATGTGAGCATCACTAACATGGCAAACATTAATCATTCGTTCCTAATTGACCTCCGTGATGGTGAACCACTGCAGTTCATAAATACACCCAATTGTTTTGGATTTTGACCTAACAACAGTTAAGGAATTGCAACAGTTCCATGTCAGAATAATATGAGGCTTGGGGAGAAACTTGCAGAGATGATATTCCCAAACGTTTGCTGCCCTTGTCCCTCAAGGTGGTTGATGACAGTGGCTGTGTATCAGTTCAAGGATGATGCCTACTTGGGATTGTGGGTATCTACCATGGCTTCAAGTGACTGATAGGACAGTTCACAATGCACACTTCTTTGGACATATGGGGCAGAACATACTGGGAGGTAGTGGGATCCAGAATGCAAGATTTGCTTCTGTTCTTTCCTTCTCTGCAGCTGCTCTGTCTCCATTGATCATGTGTTTGCATCAAAACATGAAGAAGTTTGTTAGACAAGTTTTTCCATTTTAGATGATTGGCAGCGAACTCCTTCCAGTCACTAATATAAATGCTGCAGCGCTTGAAGGAGAGCTTCAGAGTGTCATTGAAGTGTTTCCTTTGTATTCTCCTGTAATGTCAGTCGTTTGAGAGTCAGATCTGTATCTGAAGCACTGACCTTTAAGGCTATGGACTAGTTGTTTAGAAATGAGCTTAAAATAAGAGCTTAGTTTATTCAGCTGGTGCAGACATGATGAGCTGAGTGACCTCTTTCTGTGCTGTAATTTTTCCATAGTTCTACAACACAGTGAGTACATACTTATTGACCATCTGGACACCGTGCCCCATCCAGCATAGTTGTAGGAGTTCCTCAGGGTAGTATCCAAGGCCGAACCATCTTCAGCTCAATCATCAATTATTGTCCCTCCATTGTAAGGATGGAAGTGAACATGTTTGCTGATGAACTTCACATGTTTTCTGCACCATTTACAACTCTTCAGATTTTTGAAGCAGCCCAGTGTCCATATGTATCGAGAAGTGGACATCATCCAGGTTTGGGCAGATAAGTGATAAGTAACTACCTGGACTTGTGTGGGGTGAATGGCCATCTCAACAAGAGAGAATCTAATAATGACCCCTTAACAGTCAGTAGCATTATAGTCACCTTGTCCTTCACTGTCAATGTCCTCAGGGCTACCATTGAGCAGTAATTGAACTGGACCAGCAACATAAATATAGTTGTTTCAAAAGCAAATCAGAGGCTAGTGATTCTGTGGCATGTAACCCACCTCCTACCTCCCAAAACCTGTCCAACATCTACCAAGCACAAATCAGAAGTGTAGTGGAATCCTCTCCACTTCCCCGGATAAATGCAGCTTCAACAATATTCAAGAAGCTTGACGCCATTCAGGAGAATGCAGCTTGCTTGATTGCCTCCCCATCCACTACCTTGAACATTCACAGCCCTCAAAAACACAGTGATAGCAGTGTATACCATTGTCAAGATGTGCTGCGGAAACTCACCAAGGTTCCTTTAACAACAGCTTACAAGTGCACCATCTCTGCCACCTAGGAGAAGTAAGAAGATTAGTAATAACAAATGTAGGTCCCCTTGCAGACAGAAACTGGTGAAATTATAATCAGGAAACAAGGAAGTAGCAGAAGAATTGAATGCAAAATTTAGTTTCGTCTTCACAAAAGATGGCACACACAACCTCCCTGAAGGACAAGGGGGCGGCGATGGCCTAATGGTATTATCACTGGACTGTTAATTAAGAGACCCAGATAATGTTCTGGGGACCTGCCACAGCAGATGGTGGAATTTGAATTCAATAAATATCTAGAATTAAGAGTCTAATGATGACTATGAATCCATTGTCAATTGTCAGAAAAATCCATCTGGTTCACTAATGTCCTTTAGGAAAGGAAATTGCCATTCTTACCTGGTCTGGCCTACGTGTGACTCCAGACCCACGGCAATGTGGTTGACTCTGAACTGCCCTCTGGGCAATTAGGGAGGGACAACAAATGCTGGCCCAGCCAGCGATGCCCCTTATCCCATAACTGAAGAAAGGGAAAAAAAAAAATGTTAGGGAACCAAGGGTCTAGTAAGAGAGCAGAGTTGAAGGAAATCAATATTAATAAAAAAAAAAGTGGTGCTGGGAAAATGAATAGGTTAAAGGATGGCAAGTCACATATGGGGTTAAAGGCTGATAATCTATATCCACAGTACTAAAGAAAGTGACCCTGGAACTATTGGATGCAGTGGCGGTCATCCATAGACTCTGGAGCAGTTCCTACAGATTGAAGGAGAGTAAATGTAACCCCACTATTTAAAAAGGGAGTGAGAGAATAATAAAGAATTGCAGACCAATTGTAGGGAAAATGCTAGAGTCTATTCTAAAAGACATGATGACAGAATGTTTGGAAAGCATTAATGGGATTGGACAAAGCCACCATAGGTTTATGAAGGATGAATCATGCTTAACAAATCTGCTGGAGTGTTTGAGGAAGTAACAAGAAGAATAGATAAAGGAGAACCAGTGAATGTCATCAAGTCATTCAGCTGTACAGCACGGAAACAGACCCTTCAGTCCAACTCGTCCATGCCGACCAGATATCTGAAATTAACCTAGTCCCATATGCCAGCATTTGGCCCATATCCCTCCAAACTCTTTCTGTTCGTATACCGATTCAGATGCCTTTTAACCGTTGTAATTGTACCAGCCTCCACCACTTCCTCTGGCAGCTCATTCCATACAGGCACCACCCTCTGTGTGGAAAAAGTTGTTCCCTAGGTCCCTTTTAAATCTTTCCCCTCTCACCTTAAACCATACCCTCTAGTTTTGGACTCCCCTACTCTGGGGACCTTGTCTATTCATTCTATTCGTGCCCCTCATGATTTAATAAACTTCAATAAGGTCACCCTTCAGCCTCCTACACACCAGGGAAAATAGCCCCAGCCAATTCAGCCTCTCCCTATAGCTCAAACACTCTAACCCTGGCAACATCCTTGTAAATCTTTTCTGAACCCTTTCAAGTTTAACAACATCCTCCCTATAGCAGAGAGGCCAGAATTGAACACAGCAGTTCAAAAGTGGCCTAACCAATGTCCTGTACAGCAGCAACATGACCTCCCAACTCCTATGCTCAGTGCACTGACCAATAAAGGCAAGCATACCAAATACCTTCTTCACTATCCCGTCTACATGGGACTTCACTTTCAAGGTACTGTGAACCTGTACTCCGAGGTCTCTTTGTTTAGCGACACTCTCCAGGACCTTACCATTATATGTATACGTCCTGCCCTGATTTGCCTTTCCAAAATGCAGAACCTCACATTTATCTAAATTAAACTCCATCTGCCACTTTTTGGCCCATTGGCCCATCTGTTCAAAGTCCTGTTGTACTCTGAGGTAACCTTCTTCACTGTCCACTACATCTCCAATTTTGGTATCACCTATAAACATAGTAACCATACCTCCGATGTTCACATCCAAATCATTAAATGACAAAAACTATTGGACTCAGCACTGATCCTTGTGGCACACCGGTGGTCAAAGGCCTCCAGTCTGAAAAGCAACCCTCCACTACGCTCTTTGTCTCTTACTTTCAAGCCAGTTCTGTATCAAAGTGGCTAGTTCTCCGTTTAATCCATGTGATCTAACCTTGCTAACCAATCTAGTATGCGGAATCTTGTCGAACGTCTTACTGAAGTCCATGTAGATCATGTCTACTCCTCTGCCTTCATCAGTCCTCTTTGTTACTTCTTCAAAAAACTCAATTAAGTTAGTTAGATATGATTTTCCATCCACAAAGCCATGTTGATTATCCCTAATCTGTCCTTGTCTTTCCAAACTGTTGCTCAGGAATCTGTCCTACAGCTTGCCCACCACTGATGTCAAGTTCGCCGGTCTATAGTTTCCTGGCTTTTCCTTACCACCTTTCTTAAATAGTGGCACCACGTTAGTCTTCTGGCACCTGTGGCTATCGATGATACAAATATCTCAGCAAGGGGGCCAGCAGTCACTTCCCTAACTTGCCACAAAGTTTTAAGGTACACCTGATCAGGTCCAAGTGATTTATCCACCTTTATGTGTTTTGAGACATCCACCAACACCATCTCAGTAATATGGACATTTTTCAATATGTCGCTATTCATTTCCCCAAGGTCCCTAGTTTCCATATCCTTCTCCATAGTAAACACTGATGCAAAATACTCGTTAAGTATCTCCCCCATCTCCTGCAGATCTTTAATTGGTCCTGTTCTCTCCCTAGTTATCCTTTCGTCCTTAATGTATTTGTAGAGTTTCTTTGAATTCTCCTTAACACTATTTGCCAAAGCTATCCCATGTCCTCTTTTTGCCCTCCTGATTTCCCCCTTAAGTAAGCTCCAACTGCCTTTATACTCTTCTAAGAGTTCACTCGAGCCCTGCTGTCTATACCTGACATGCTTCCTCCTTTTTCTTGACCAAAACCTCAATTTTTCCAGCACAATTTCTCCAACACAAATTATCCAGCACTCCCTACAACTACCAATCTTGTCCTTCACCCTAACAGGAACATACCGTCTCTGGACACTCTATCTCATTTTTGAAGGCTTTCCATTTTCCAGCCATCCTTTTACCTGCAAGTATCTGTCCCCAATCAACTTCTGAAAATTTTTGCCTAATACAATCAAAATTGATCTTCCTACAATTTAAATTTTAACTTTTAGATCCAGTCTGTCCTTTTCCATCACTATTTTAAAATTAATAGAATTAGGATCACTGGCCCCAAAGTGCTCTCCCCGGACACCTCAGTCACCTGCCCTACCTTATTTCCCAAGAGTAGGTCAGGTTTTGCTCCTGCTGTAGTAGGTAGATCCATATACTGAATTGAAAATTTTCTTGTATACGCTTAACAAATTCCTCTCAATTCAAGCCCTTAACACTATGGCAGTCCCAGGCTATGTTTCAAAAGTTAAAATCCCCTACCATTACCACCCTATTATTCTTACAGATAACTGAGATCTCCTTACAAATTTGCTTGTCAATCTCCCACTGACTATTGGAGAGTTTGTAGTACAATCCCAATAAGGTGATCATCCCTTTTTCATTTCTCAGTTCCACCCAAATAACTTCCCTGGACGTACTCCCAGGAATATTCTCCCTAAGTACAGCTGTAATGTTATCCCTAATTAAAAATGCCACACCCACCTCCTGTCTTGACCCCCTTTCTATCCTTCCTATGGCATCTTTACCTTGGAACATTAAGTTGCCAGTCCTGTCCATTCATGAGCCATGTCCCTGGAATCACTGTGATATCCCAGCCCCATGTTCCCAACCATGCCCTGAGTTCAACTGCCTTCCCTGTTAGGCCTCTTACATACAAGTTAAACAGTATTTATTTCACAGTCCTACCTCGTTCTCTGCTTTGTTCCTGCCTGCCTTTACTGTTTTGTCTTTTCTCTTTCCTCAGCTGCACCAGTCTCTGACTGATCACTTTTCTGACTACCTCCCCGGGTACCCACCATACCACCACCACCATCATTCCCCGCCCCCGGCCAAATAAAATCTAGTTTAAATCCTCCTGAGCAGCTCTAGCAAATCTCCTCACCAGTATATTAGTTCCCTTCCAATTTAGGTGCAATTCGTCCTTCTTATGCAGGTTACTTCTACCTCAGAAGAGATTCTAATGATCCAAAAATGTGATTCTTTCTCCCCTCCACCAGCTCCTAAACCACCCATTCATTTCCTTTATCCTGCTATTCCTACTCTCACTAGCTCATGGCACCGGGAGTAATCCAGATACTACTACCCTAGAGGACCTACTTTTTAAATTCCTGCTTAATTTCCTGTATTCTCTCCTCAGAACCTCGTCCATTTCTCTCCCTGTGTCACTAGTTCCAATGTGTGCATGACCTCCTGCTGGTCCCTCTCCCCTTTGAGAATATTCTGCACCCTCTCTGCGATATCCTTGATCCTGGCATCAGGTAGGCAACATGTCATTCTGATGTCTCGTTGTCAGCCACGGAAATGTCCGTCTGTGCCTCCTACTGGAAAGCCCCCTCTCACAATCGATCGCTTGGAACCTGACGTACCCGACATCACAATAGAGCCAGTCTTGGTACCAGAAACCTGGCTGTCAGTGCTACATTTCTCAGCGTCTATCATCCCCTACATTTTCTAGAACAGCATACTTGTTTGAGGTGGGGATAGCCACAGGAGACTCCAGCACTACCTGCCTACCCCTCCTATGTTTCCTGGAGGTAACCCATCTACCTGACTGTATCTGCGGTTTTACTCCCTTCTTGAAACTGCCATCCATCACACCCCCTAGCTTTTGTAAATTTGTCATTGCCTGTAACTGCTGCTGCAACCAATCTATGCGATCTGATAGGATTCACAATTAAACACACTTCCTGCAGATATGGTCATCAGTAAAATTGAAATTCTCCCTAATCTCCCACATCTGACAGGAAGAGCACATCAATCTACTAAAGGCCATCTTTGCATCTTCACAATCTACAAGACCCAGAAAATAGCACAGTCTGACTGTTCTAGAATAGTACCGATGTTTTACTTTTTTTAAAGTTTAATCAAAAGAGAGATCTCAATAAAACATATAATAAAAAAACCCACTCGACTCACTATTGTAGATTTACAAAAAAGTGAGATTACACTTCTAAAACAAAGGCCACTTAGCTGTTCCCTTGCTGTGAGCTCCCCACGCAGGTTTCTCCCAGGTCAGCTGTGAATTTCACTGTTTATTTTCTTAGAACCAACTCTGATGTGCAGTGATACTTGAAACTAAACAGCAGAAACAGTCAACTGTGAAGATTTACTGCCTGGTCGGACAGCTGTGCAGGTTCACTGATCCTCCTGTTTTCACCTCCCAAGTTACACCTGCTCTGTGTCTCTCCCTCCTTTTTTTTTTAATGCTGTTATTTTGATCTCTTTGCTTTGCAATTTTGGGGAAAAAAATGCAATAGCTTATATAACAGTAATTACTGCTCCAAAAGGAAATCAACTCCAACACTGAAAATACCTAAAAAAAAAAGGAGCAGCTCTTGCAACAATGGTTTTTTCCATACTTGACCTCTGAATGTTTCAGGTTTCAAGTACAAAGGATTTTATATTTGAAGGTAGACTGTTAACCCTGTTGAATCTGCAATTCCCTGCAAATCTTCCCTGAGGTCACTGGTAAAATTGTCAAGCAATATTCTTTAACAAGTGTATATTGCATTTAGTATGCTTTTGTGCTACAAGCTTACTGTTGGGAATGTTAACGTTGTATGTTGTAAGTCCGGTGTTAAGGATTGAACTTACACTGAAGTAAGTTGAGAGAACATCCAACAGGACATCTCATATTGCTTTATTCTAGTAACATGACAGACCCGCCCTGATATTAATGGAAAGCAAAACCACTCTGCATCCCCACTTCAGTAGATGTTGCAAAACAAATTTCAGATTTTGAATAAGTGAACGTAATGCTTGGAATAACAAGAGAGAATTCTTACATTTTATGTGAAATACTTTACGTCTTATAGTGAACTACTCTGGCAAAAGAATTAATTTAATCTATTTGTATTTATTTTAGAACTTAAATTAGGTGAACTACTACATGACAAACTGTAAGTATGGCAACATTTTTAAATTCAACAGTAACAATTTATTTTAGTTTCAAGTGAAAATGGAACTTTTCAGTTAATCTTACATTGCAGGGTGGAGGTAGCGGGGGGAACCTTTCTTTACTTCCCACCAAATGCGATTGCATTATTAAATTCATGTCACTGGTTAAGCTGCTTTTGAAATTATATCAAACCTATTTCATTGGTGATCGTTCTAGTACATTAAAGACTACAACATAATTTATTGACTGCAAATGGTATGAAAATCTTAATTCAAGATACACTTGAAATGTTTTCTTCAGCTTTGGTCTATTTGAAGCCATGTCTGCAATTGAGATGATGGATCCAAAGATGGATGCAGGAATGATTGGAAACCAGGTTAATCGTAAGGTACTCAACCTGGAGCAGGCGATCAAGGTTTGGCACTTTATTTCACAACTACACTTTTGTGACTATGTTAATGTAATTCTCAAACTTGGTACCTGCAGTTAATATGGCAAAGTCCACTTTCTGCCCCCACCCACACCACTTATCCCCACAGCATTAAAAAGAATTTGGGTGAATACTTCTTATTCATAACATGTTGTGGATGTTTCTCAAAATCTGGGCAACTTACTGGAATGAAAGGAAAAAAATTAAAGTAATGTATGATTGTTAATCTAGCAGTTACCCAAGGACCCAAAACATTGGATTTTTTGAAGGACAGGAAGTAGTTGCACAACAGAGAAAAGGTGTGGGGAACATGTGTTTTTATATTGTTAGGCGTTACAAGTGAGAAGTTTCGTAAGTTTACATTTTTGGATTGTGCACTTATAATTTAGGGTAAAATGTAAGAATAAAAGGGATCATGTGTCCTCGTCCAAATTCTGTTGAAAGGAAATCTGGGTGGCTTGATTATTAAATACTTGAAGGGGGATCCCAGGTTATTGTCAGTGATTGAAGATGCAAGGTGTTTATGTTTCTAGACAATGATGAAAGCAGATATAATGATAATAGCCACACTGTGAGTAGATACGAGCAGCAAGTCTCTAGAGCAGTGCTTTCCACATTTAATCCCACTGTGATCCATTTTGAGGCTTGAAATTGTCATGTTCAGTCTATGAGAACTGCAGGATGGGATTTAAAGGGGCCATGCAATTGTTAATGCTTGGTTGGAGCTACACAGCAGCTTTAGCCTGGTAGCATGCGAACCCCCACCACTCATGACCGAAATTTGAGAAGCTGTACTTCACGGAGTAGGAATGCAGATGGGAGCTTGTGCTTGAATTGAAAAATCCAGAATCCATGAGTGTTTTAACCAAGACCATAAGATTTGCCTAGCTTGATCTAAAGGGAGGATCTCCATGAAAGCCCTTCAGAGAAAGGCAGTCTTGGTATTAAAAGTTGTCAGGCTAGTAAAGGAAAGAACAGGATTCACCCTGGAGAGCTAAGAATTACTGACTGGTTCTCTGGTTCTCTGGGAATACAGTGTCTGCTTGATTGACAAAAGTAAAATATAACCAGCGCTGGAGATTTTTGGTCATTTGAAATGTTAACTAGAGTATCGAGTATCTAACGAAATAATGTTGAGTGAATGGTGCGTTTACTTTCTTTGTTACGGTAAATATCTTAAAACCTGAAACATTGTCAGCTCTTCAGTTGTTCATTCAAAGTTTGTATTTTTTCAAAGTGATGGGTCACTATGGATTAGTATCATTGGAATGGAAAAGTTTAATTTTCCATGATTTATTATTATAAAATTTGAATTCTGTTAACAATGAACTGTATTTCTTTATAGTATTTTACAAAAATAGAAACAAATAAAAGTTAATTTGCTAATTTGTCAGTTGTAGACAATTCTGATATAAAGAAACAGTGAAAATAGAATCTAATATTACATTTCAAATCATATCAGTTAAAAACGATTACACATTCATCACAGATTTCAGTGTCCAGTCCTAGTTGCCTTGAGTTTAATACAATGGGGTGACTTTCTAGGTTACTTCAGAGGAGCAATAAGTCACCCTTGTTGATAGGATGTGTTCACATTGCTGGCTGAACAGAATAATGATGACTGTCTTCCTTTCCTAAATGACATTAATGATCTATAAAGTTTTAATGACAAACCCAACAGCTGTATTGTGTTTTTCACTGTTGCAACTTTTTTTTAATTGTCAGAGTGTTTTTGAACTAAATTCAAATTCTTAAACTGCCATGGTGAGAATTTATTTTGCATCTTTTGGATTATTTGTCAGTATCTCTGAATTGCCCACTACACTGCTTTTACCTAATGTATGCAAGAACCCATTGTTTAAAAATTACTGTTGGAGAATAGTGATTTGATGTTACACTCAAAATTTGCAGAAACACGTAAATATTATTATATACAACTCATAAATCATTGTTGTTCTTGTGTTAATTGACAGGTACTCCAACTAGTTACAGCATTCCATGTTTAGAATTCTAGAATAAGCTTTTTAATCACAAATCTACTTCCTGACCCAAACTTGCCCAGCTTGAATGAAGGTTGAAATGTGGGCAGATGACCAAATTACTGACAGGATTTATTTATAACTTGAAAGAGATATACATTCTTATTATATTTAATTATACTTGGTTAGAATCTAACTGTCGTCAGCAAGGTTTCCTCAGGTGAGCATTTAGAGTTGAGTGCTTTTACACTGAATTCTTGGATACAGCTATCTCCCTGAGTTACCTCTTCAATCAAGCAGATCACTAAAGAACCTGCCTCCAGTCATACTGCCACCACGATCAGCTCTGCAGGATAGCCACTACCCACAAGCATCTGTTTTGTTTTTCCCTCCTGAAATTGGTCCTCTGTCTGCAACCAAGACTTGCCTGTCCCTACAGCCTACACTGCCTGCAAATTGGAGTCCAAGCCAATCAGGCTGACCTCTGGGCAGCAGCAAATTGGTGACACTGATTTGAAAATCTCAAATCATAGATTTTCCACACCTTTCTGACTGTCTGCCTCCTGCAGGTCAAGTAATTAAAATAAAAATAGCCCCCTCAAGATTTTCTGTCCCTCCAGCATATTTGATTAAAGTTACTTATTCACTGTTTCTAAACTCAGCAGCACTGTTACAGAATTGAGTAAATAATGGATGCACTTTGTACTTTTATATGAAGCTGAATGTTGGTCAGTTCAAAAATGTTTAGGAATTGAAACTTAAAAGCCAGAGAACATCTGAAAAGCCTCAGACTGGACTAGTTATAAATGGATGATGTTTAAAAATACTGCAA